ATACTTGGCCAATAAAGTATTGTATTGTATTGTATTGTATTGTATTGTATTGTATTGTATTGTATTGTATTGTATTGTATTGTAAATTGGCGCACAGCCTGAAGGTGGGCAAAGGCCCTCCTAACCACGGCTGCCACCTGCTCTTTGAGGACCCAGAAGGACCCAGATTATGTACTGTGTCTGTCTAAGGCAGTGCCACCTCATCCAAGACCAATGATGGAAGGCCCCGAACACCAAAAGTTCCAAACACCCAAAGCCACTCGGTCTTGCTTAGGTTGAGCTAAAGCCTGTTGCGCCCCATCCAGGCCCCCATAGCTTCCAGATACTGGGACAGGATGTTCGTGGCATCAGACAGCCTGGGGTGGAGATATAAAGCTGAGTATCATCAGCATACTGCTGATACCTCACCCCAAACCATTGGATGACCCTACCCAGTGGCCTTATGTAGATGTTAAACAGGAGGGGAGAAAGGACTGAGCCTTGAGGCACCTGACAAAGTAGGGTGCGCAGATTGGATCTCTCCCCTCCTTTCAACACCAACTGGAACTTGCCGGGAGGAAGGAAGAGAACCAATAAAGCACAGTACCCCCAGCTCCTGGAGCTGGTCCAGAAGGATACCATGATTGATGGTATCAAAAGCCACTGAGAGGTCAAGAAGAGCTAGGGTGGATACACTACCCCCATCCTGCTCCTGTTAGAGGTCATCCAAGAGTGCAGTCAATGCCATCTCCATCCCACACCCTGTCCTGAATCCAACTGAAAGAGGTCCAGATAATCCATTTAATCCAGAGTCCTTTGAAGCTGCAGCATGATCATCTTCTGCACAACCTTCCCTAAAAAGGGAAGGTTGGAAACTGGATGAAAACTGTCCAGGCTGGTTGGCCTGAGCGATGTCCCCTTCAGAAGAGGGCAGACCATTGCCTCCTTAAGAGCCAGCAGAGCCACCCCCTCCTTCCAGGAAGAATTAACCACTACCCAGACCCAATCACACGTTCATTCCTGGGCAGCCTTGACCAGCCAGGAGAGACATGGATCTAATACAGAGGTGGCCGAACTAACAACAAGATAGTTGTTGAAGTTTTCATTAAAAAAAAAAAGACTACCATGATAAATGTGATTAGTTTCAAAGCCCTTGGACAGAGGTGAGGCAAGGAGGGAAGACTCTGCCTTCCTTTATTACACTTCCACATACCAGAAGGGAGAAAATTGGGAACAGCAGAGATGCTGCAGCCAATATGACCCTATTTTGTAGTTTCTGCCTACCATTTCTGTGTCTGGAGGCCAGAAGAATGGACTGTTCTAACTTTTCAGGTTCAGATGGCACACAGCTCCTTCATTTTAGAAAAAAGTAACATTGTAAAAGGTATGTCTATGAACTTAGGATGTTTAAGATGCTCCTGTTGAACCATAGTTTAACCAAAGGTCACTTAGCCTAGTCTGTCATATGAGCCATCTTTTAGTATTACATATAAGAAAGGCTTAAATTGAAATTAAATTGGTTTAATAAATGACAAAATTCAACATTTGTTCATTTTGCTTGTGTGCTTTGTTTCTTTTTACAGAGAGGGCTATTGCAAAACACGAAGTTCGGGAAATAGAGCAGCGCCATACAATAGATGGCTCTCGATCAGATGTAGTCCCAGATGAAGACGATGATGTGGTGATCATTTATAATCGGGTACCTAAAACTGCAAGTACATCTTTCACGAACATTGCATATGATCTTTGTGCGCGGAACAAGTATCATGTTCTTCATATCAACACAACCAAAAACAATCCTGTTATGTCTCTACAAGATCAGGTAAGTTACCATAGTTAAGATACTATATCCTTCATTGTTCATTAATCTTACTTATGGTTTCTTCTCTGTCAAACATACAATATTGTGGGTGAGGTGATGTCTCATTCCCAGTGGAGAACAACAAAATATAGGTTCTAATAAAATTGCTGACTTAGAGTCAGAGTGGAAGTTTTCATATCTGATTTATCTTAAATTCTAGCTTCACTGAACTTAAATTTGAATAAAGGCAAATGTATGTGTAATATATGATTAAACAATTGTAGGCATTTGTTGTATGGTAAATGAGAGTGCTCTCTTACTGTTTAAAATAGAATTAATCTTTCTTCCTCTCCTTCTGTATTTTATATATCAGTTCCTAATGGTTTTCTCCTCATATCAGATACAAAATTCTTGGCTTTTTTTAGTTGTTTAAGCCTTTATTTCCAATTGGGTCATATCATTTTTTTCCATACAAACTTCTTGATGGAATCCACTGATTCATATTCAGATCATTTTCCATCTTCTTTCTCAGTCTATCTTATTACCCTTTAGCCCTCTTTTCCAAAATTCTATAATTAGCTTAATAGTGCTAACCATGTGATGACCCTTTATATGCTATCAGTGGTAGCAAAAAAGCATTACCTGACTTATAGCTGATCAAGAAGGACTTTATTGAGGCAAGTTAAATGTCCAGAGAAACATGCTGAATTACTATTTTTTACATACTGTAAATGTATATCCCACACCAGGGAACCTCAACAGTTCCCTGGGAAACCATGTTGACAACATATTTGCTCAAACCTTAATACGTATGTGTAATGAAATCATACATCATTAAAGTAAAATATTGTACTTGTTCTTTATCATATATGTCAACAGTTTTGAAATTTGTAAACTGTTTTATTCTCTTGTGTTTTTCTGAGTATATGTGATTCTTTGGACCTCAGATAATTTTTGAAGCTCCCATTTTTCGCTTTTTCCCTGTAGGATTTCTGGTACCTATTCTCTATCAGGATTCATTTAGTCTATCTTTCATTTCTAGAAAATTCACCTGGGTTGAAAATGTAAAACAGTTTAAATATGCCAGAAATTCAAAAATAGCTTTTGAGTATTTTCTTTTTAAGTACTGTATCAGGAAAAAATATTCTGCAGAACCCTTTTTATATTTTCTGACCTTCCTAAGTAAAATGCTTTAAAAAAATCTCCAATTCAAAACATCCCCCCAAAAAACCAAAACCCCAAACGTGTGTGTGTGTGTGTGTCTATTTGGCTTATGACTTTTGTAACAATACAAAAGAGGAAGTATTGATGAAAATACTTACAGAGTTGCATATGACTCTGAATAATTGATGACAAATTAATATTCTTTGTTCATGAAAGGCTTTGGCATCAAATATAGTGATACCAACATACATTTAACTATTAGTGCAGTTGCTTACTACTATGAGATAGTAGACTAAAATACTGGTATGAAAGAAGGTGTACAGGATTTTTCTTCAGTACAATTTTTTGTACTTACTGCTATTATGATGGTAGGTTTCCCCTAGAAAAGTTACTAAGAACATGGAATGGGCAGTTTAATATTTGCTCCAGTTTACTTTCCTGGGATCTTTCTTTCATCATGTGGGTACTGGATGAGGTGGGGGTTTGGGCATCAAGATAGCACAGTTTTTTTAAAAAAAAGTAATCACACATTAGTATTTGTAGCCTTTATACTTAAACTCCCTGGATTGAATTGGGAACTCATACTGCATGAGTCTATTGAAACTGGATGCAACTGAGTTGATGTAATAATAATAGGCAGGATCTGTGACCTATTGGAGCTTGAGATTTGATTGTTGGAATAGTATTTTTCCTATTTATCTAGCTTGTCATATTTGGAATGTTTCTGTCATCTTCTGGAGTATCATCACTATGTCTAGATCTTACATAGGTTAGCTGTAGGACAGATTTTCACCATCCAGTAAGACTATTGTAGCCCATGCTGTTCAATTCATATTTAAGATATTCAAAACTTTGCCATCCTATTAAGTATAAGCTGTGTAGTTAAATTTAAGAGTCATGTGACAGTATTTAAATTTTGTTGAGATTAATCTCTGATGCACTACAGTGACTGTTCACTTAAAACCACTGGGAATTCATTCATTGTATGTCTTTGCAATAAACTAGGAGAGTTCAGATCTGGAGACTGGACCCATAGCAACTAGATTCCTAGCAACTTTTGAATAGCAGCATTAAAAATATATTTGTAGTATATTACTACAAACTTGTAGTAAGCTTTGAAAAACTTGCAGCAGCCCATGGAATGAAGAATTCTATTTAGTGTATTTTTTTGTTTGTTTGTTTGTAGCAGATTATGATAGCTATTTCTTAGGACACATTTCTTGATACTCTATCAGAGTTTGTGATAATGCTGTAGAAGGTAATTAAATAACATTTGGTTTCTATATCATATATTTTTGTCCATTTGACATAGCATAGAGAACTAGTTATTGATACAATACCAAAACAAAATTAAATTTGTATTTAAATGGCTGCTAAATTTCTGCCTCTTTAGAAAGTCACAAATGACACAAAATGTTTCCTCACCTCCTAAAGGAATGCTTTTGGTTAGGATGTCAGGTAGCCATATTCCCCTGTAGGATTCAACTTTCTTTATCACCCCACCTGGTTTTCTATTTCTCCTCTAATATCTACTGTTCTATTATTACTGAGCACTCTCAGTTCTCATTGTGCTAGGTGTTGTTTTTATCTCTTTAGATTTTTATGATTATTTTGGGGGGGGGTACTTCAAACTTTGCAATTCTGTTGAGCAAGTTGATAGCTGATTCTGTTGTTAATAATGATAGGAGCTGGCACTTGAATTGACTATTGTAAGTTAATCAAATCCTACAGTTGAAATATTCCCCATTTTAAACTTACTTCACAATTGTGTGTATGTGCATTGGCTGGAGCAAGCTCCTTCTCCAAAGGTCAGGATGGAGCTTACATCAAATGTTTGGTATTCTCTTTGGCAGTAGCTAAAGTCATTTTACCAGACAACTCTCAAAAATTCCAGTCAGCATGAACATTGTGTTAGGAAGGTTATTCTAGAAATATCATTATATATTAACTTGATAAATTATGAGAATAATGTAGATATTTTTGCTTTATCTTACATCTATTTTCCATTACAGTTTAAACTTCTGAAAGCATAAGATTAGAAAGCATACACACACACACATACATATAGAGGGAGGGGGCTGGCCAAAATGTTTGAAAACCTCACATAGCTCCTTCAAAAAGGCTATTACTGGCTTTCTGTGCCGAGAAGTGGGGACAGTCTCAACAGCCATGTAAGTTGTCCTAAGGATGTAACCGCTTTAATGCTTTGAGGATGGGTCCTTGGTTTACACTAGGACGCTTTTTTAAGCATCACTTTCAAATACTTTCCATAGCCCTAATATATAGTAATTTCCAACTCAAACTGTGGGCTAGAATGAAAAGTTGAAAAAACATTTCTGTGTTATTGCTAAGAAAATTAATTGAAGTATTGCTGAAGTTACCAGCCTAACTTGGAGATTTTACTTTTACCTGTATTTACCAGTTCTTATTGGGTCAGTCAGTGTAAAATTCCTATATTCTAACTATGGAAAGATGGGAAATAAATCTAATGATAAAGAATAATAAATATATACCTTGACTAATAATTATAGCAAATATACTTAGCTGTTCAAAGTATTATTACAGAATATGAACTATAAGAAATTCCTGGTTCAAAACTTAGCCCGGTTTAGCAAATCCCAGTGTTTTCAGCTATCTGTCCATC